ATGGGGTCAATACAATTTTTTAAGAGTCCATATGTATAGCTAAAGGCTACATAACAAGAAATAATACCAGACAGGAGATACCTTCCTTTGAGTTATTGGCCAGGGTGGCCCAAAAGACTCACAGACAGTAATCCAGCACAGAACTGGGAAAATGAACAGCAGACCCCAATCTTATCTAAAGAAGTATTGACAACTGATTGCTGCTAGATGAAGAACAGCTTATCTTTCTAAAACAAGGATCTCTAGATAGGCTGACTAGATTCAGCAGATGGACAAGCACTGGGGAATGGCTGGGGGTGCCAACAACACAGCAGACAGTAGCAGGGATATCAGAGTATAAGGGCTCTTATACTCTGATATAAGTAGGGGTATAAGCGGGGGGAGGGTGGCTATCGGAGGGTGCTACCTAGGAAGTGGGTGTATAAATAAATTTAAAAAAGAAAAACAATACTTCAAAGCATAAAAATTTGCTCCTTCATAATTAGTACACGTGAAAAACATTACCATTGAAATCTACCTGAAAGAGATTAGAAACACAAGTGTATCGTAGTGTCAATTGTATTAAAAATGAATTTTTCTGTATGAAACTATATTTTAATAATGAAATGAAGATCTCTTTTAAAGTTAAAAAATAGAAAATAAAAATAAAATAAATATGAAAAAAATATAGGAAACAGCATATTTTAAGATGAAATGGAGATCTTCTTCAAACATTAAAAACTCATTCAATTTTATGTGTTACAGGGTTTATACGGAGTTCAATGTTGTATAACTGTATTAATTAAACTGTGAACCTAAAAATTTACTGCCACTTTTGATAGAGATGTATCCTTGCTCTGGAAATTATTACTGAATATATTAAAGCTGTAATGAAGTGCTTCTTCTAATTATGTGGTTATTAAATAAAAATAAATAAATAAATAAAGTTATTGGCTTATCCAGAGTGTGAAGATATATTAAAGAATTACAGAGAACCTTAGCATCAGAGGTGTGCAGGGCGTCTCCTGCACTGGTCCAATAGAGACACTGATTCTGTGCGTGCATTACAATATCACAGTGAAACCCATCATGTAGCACAATTAATATAAACTAATAAAAGGGGGAAATGGGAAAGGAAAAAAAAATGAAGAAAGAGAAAGTAAGAGAAAAAGAAAGGAGGGCAAGAGGGGAGGGGAGTTACAAAATTTACAAGGTAAAATGAGAAGCATTTGGGATGTGTCTAGGCAAGGAATGGAAGAGGAGCACAGCGTCCTCCCACATATCCAAGCTTAAGTGAGGTTTGAAAACCGGGAGAGACGTTTCATCTTGAATGTGATCAGTTTTAGTTATTAGATTAGTAAAGAATTATGTGAGGGTGAGTGGAAGAAGCTAAATAAAACTTCAGACAGAGCACAGCTTGAACAGTGGGTCCATTGTCCAAGGAGACGCCGTGGTCCGCCCTTGTGTCTGAAGCATAGTTTTCTACCTGGTGAGGCTGGGATATGGAAAACATGTTTCCTTTCCCAATGGAGAGAGGATACCTAAACCCTGAATACAAAGAGATGCAGTGCTCCATGCTGAATACCTCAGTGAGGCTCAATGGACTGCTCTCAATACTTTATAATACACACAGTCTTTTTGATTAGATTTATATCCTTGCACTGAAATTAACGTCCATTTAGCCCGATATCTCAGAGTCTAGCTGAAAAGATGCCAAAACTTAGGCTTTCAAGTTTTCAGGCTTTAGGAGGATGAATTCATCGACCAGAAGCACAGTCACTCCATACGTCTAAGTTTGGATGTATCCGTTCCTTTCCCAAGAAACAATGCTAACACTATACTGACTTTCAAAGTGAGTCAAAAAGGAGAAGCATGCCACAAAACCAGACTGGGACTCATTTGCACATATTTGGGACTTGAAAGAATTTTGTTCTCATGTGACTTCAGCACTGCTGGAATCTAGTTATGGGTCATTTCTAGGGTGATTTTTTTTACAGATGCCCAGGTTTGAATGACACCAAAGCCCTAAGCTGCTGTTCCTATGACAGATGGCCAGGCTGTCTGACTGTGACTCCAAAGTCCCTGCCAGCAGGACAGCTGTGAAGCCATCTCTAAGTCCAGGGATAAAATGATCATCAAGCAAAAAGGCTTGATGTGCAAAACTCAGACAAGAATGAAATTAGGAAGTCTCATCTGGATACAAAGTCATGTGTAGACCTTTGAAACTTTGCCTGTGTTGAAGTGCACCAAAATATGCAGTCAAATGTCAAGCAGTTTTTGTATCAAGATTAGAGAGAACATTGAAAGATCTCATTACAGCAGTGTCACTGTCAGTATTGCGGCAATACAATCCTTTATGAAAGGTCACAGGTCATCTCTGTGTTGATGTCGCCTCACAGCATCAGCAAAATCCGCAGCATTCTTACACATGCTGAGTGAGCTTGATAAAATGACAAATGTGTGTGTGTGAGAGTGTGTGTGTGTGTGTGTGTGTGTGTGTGTGTGTGTGTCTGTGCACTCAGATATACATACATGTATGGGCCTGAGGAAAACTTGAAGTCTCATCCTCAACTATTGCCCACCTTGTTTTTTTGACTCAGTTTTTGCATTTGTTTTTGTCTTTGAGGTAGGGTCTCTCATTGGTCTGGAGCTTGCCCATTAGGCAGTACTGACTGAGCAGTGAACCCCAGGCATCTGCCTGTCTCTAACGATCCAGGCACTGGGATTGCAAGTACATTGCCCCCATCCCCAAATTTCTTGCATGGGTTCTGGTCAGTTCCTCGGGATTACCACTCTAGTGACTGAGTGATCTTTCTAGCACCCCCCATCCCATAAAATATTTTTATAACAATTTACATATCTATGTTTTGAGAACAGTAGACTGTGCCAAATAAAGACAAAGGTGGGGGCACTTAGCAAAGATGATATTACACAAAATATGAACATAAATACTTATATATCTGTCCCAAAGTGGTGTTCCAAGGGTCATTACACTTAAAGTTAGTGCTTTATCTAATTTTTAACCAATTTTAAGAACTGAATTAAGCTTCTAAAAATAGCTTCCTTTATTCTTTTTTTTTTTTATTTTCAAAGTCTAGAATAAATAGGATCATACCAGTGCATCCGTGAGGCTTGCAACACGTCTCCATGGCTGTTCATCACTGCTCCCTTTGATAAATTGGGTCAAAATCCTCTACTTTGAGCTCTGACTGCCTGACCATTGCACCATCAGTGGAGATGATGTTGAGCCTGGGTCTCACACAGACACTTCTACCTGTCTCTCTGGCATACTCCTTGGAACTTGGCCACATGGTATGAGAAAATCAAGCTTCCTAGAGAAGATGAAACACAGAAAAAAATACCCACACCCAGTCAATGTCAAATGGGACAAAATGGCAACTTCCAGTGAGTTCTGCTCAAACTCAGTATTCTGTGTAGGTGTTCATGTGTGTGTGCACATGCACGTGGAGGTCAGAGGCTAGTATCAAGTGTCTTCTTCAATAACCCCCAGCCTTATATCTGAGACAAGGTCCCCTCCCTGGACCTGGTGCTTACTGATGGGGCTGGGCTGGCTGGTTGGCAAGACCAGGAATTCTCCTGCCTCCTCTTGCCCAACGCTGTGATTACGGTATGTGCTGCTGCTTCTGCTTTGTCATGAGTGCTGGGGATCCAAACTCATGAGGGTCCTCATGCTTGAAGGGCAGTCACTTTACCTACTCAACTATGTCCCCAGCCCCTCATAAACAGAAGACAAAATATCAAAACTGGCAGAAGCACGAAGACAATGAAAAGTCCATACATTATGTATAAAAATTACAGTGTTGCACATTATAAATGACATATATTGTAGGCAATATATATGATATGTTACATGTGCTATAATCATATACAGTGAAATTTAAAACTCAAAGAAGTTAGTTAGTTGAGTAGATGCAAGAGAGGCACAATAAGCTGCATGTTAACTGAAAATCCTTATCACATGCAACACAAAAGCAATGAGGGATGGAAAGAAGGTACATGAAGTATGAAGGCAAAGAGGGGTGGAGCTTCATTAGGGAAATAAAACCCAAGCCTTTCCAGCTCAGTACAATGCAAGAATAGGGAGGTCTCGGGCTTCCCTCCCCATGACAGAAAGTTTATCCAGACATTATTTCACAGGTCAAGAGAGCGCCCTGAAAAACTCAGCCCTACACAACAAGCCTGAGATGCCTGGGAAGTCCACAGGACTGAATAAGAACCAAATTAGAAGCAGTGGAAGAATAGTCTGACTGTGACCACACATGCTTCCCTCAAGCAGCAAAGTGCTGGGCAAAGAGGACTTCCCTGCGCATGTGTCCTCTATAGGGGCAACGGTAACTGGAGGCAGATGACCACTTCCTCAGCATTTACAATGCTGCCCAAGGAGTCCAGTCTGCTCTTACCTTGGGGGAAAGATTAGGTATAATGAATCAGTTAGAAAGCCAGAGTCAGGTAGAAACAAAATTACAAAGTCAGATTACAGATTACAGTTACAGAAAGCCAAAGTCAGGGAGAAAACACATCATTGGTATATCTATGCTTCTGCCAGAAACAGCATCTGACCAGTGTGACCAGCCAACTTCATAGTCCTCCTGCAGAACTGAGCTGCTGTCAGAAGCGCAGTGAGAAGTTCAAACTATTGAGTCACTGGATGGTTAGTCTCCACATTTAGCTCAGGAAACACACTCAGACCACACCCAAGTGAAAAGAGACCCATTTCCACACATTTTGGAGAAACACTTGAGCTGGACCTGCTTGACTCAGAAGGTTAAAGGGTGGCCTTACTCAGCTTAGAAACACTGCCCACCCAACAAGAATATTGCTACAGATACTGCACATGGTACAGGAGGAGAAAGAAAGTGTCATGCTCAGAAACCTGACAACTTTGATGAGATGGGCCACTTCCCTCAAAGACACAGTTACAAAAGCTCAGTCGAGAAATAATCAGGACAAACATGTCTATTACATATATTGGAGTTGTAGTTAAATTTTTTCTATTTGTTTTCCAGAGTGATGAAAAAGCATCCTTGGGCATGTGGTTATGGCCGTCTTGGTCACTTGTATGCCACTTACCAATGTAAGGACTTTTCATAATTACACTGTTTCAAAGAAAAAAATTCTTTGTACTTAAAAAATCCTTTCATTGCAAAGTTGTATCATTGGCGATTGTAAAACATTTAAGGAAGAAATAATACCAACTCTATAGAATCACTTTTAATATTTACACAGAAGGCAAAACTCCCAACTACTTTCTAAGGCTCGTGTTATCCTAATATTAAAACCCAAGACATCCCAAGAAAAGTAAAAATTTATCTCACATATATAGATAAGAGAATCATCAATGACATGCCAGCAAATCAAATTCAGCAGCATATAGCGAGATCTGTATTCCAGACACAGTGTGCAGGCTCCACTTTCACTATTATATCTCATAATAGCATGTATCATATGTCTTATATACTATATAGCAAAACAGAAAAACACACAAGTTCCACACGAGGTGTCATTTTTATACTTGACTGCATAGATCATGATGCTTCCATAAGATCTTCACAGAGCCCTCAAAGCGGAGGTTGGAACACAATGTGAAAAGCATCAGTGGGCAGGTACAGAGACAGTGGGTCAAACTGGAAGAAGTCACAGATGAATGTGTAATACCCACCCAGTCATCAATGGTAGGTCCATTGTTCAAGGCTATACACAGTTAGCATCTTATAGTAAAGATGTAAAGACAAGAAGGGGCGGGGAGAATGCTTAGACAGTGTGAAATAGTAATAATGCCTGGTGATCTTCAAGTAAGACTAGTGTCTATGATGCAAGACAGTTTCATATTCTGAGTTATGAAGACCTGCTTGTACTTTAGAACATGGAGTCAGCATGTACATGTTATGACTAGCTTAGCATGTGTACCCATTAATAGTTAGCTTGCTCTTAGGAACCCTGCCCCCCTCACCCCAGATGTCCACTGAGGAGTACAAAGTTGACACTAGCAGAAACCAACCTACCACAGATTTCAAAAAGGGTCTCGACCCCCTTCCCAGAGTGAGGGAAGTGTGAAGGATGATAGTGAGAGAGGCACAGGCATCTTAAATCTCAGAACTGTGGCTGCCCACCTGACCAGAGGGGCAAGTCTGAGGCCTGGGGTGATTGGCTGCCTGTGTCTCTCCCTCTTCTTCCTACATCATCTGCCAGGTGGAGATGAGTTATAAGACAGAATTTTGGGATGTGAATCCTCTGTCTCCTCATATTGGCCTTGAATAAAGCAGTTTTAAAGATTTAATTCTGGTCTCTGCTCCTGGCATTTGTGACAGGCAGCAAGGAGCTCTGGTATTCCAGTTATATATTCCTACTATATCTGCTGCACCACACCTTCGAGGCTGCATAATTGGCCTATGTTGATGAAGCACCTTCAGTCAATCCAGGTAGTTGATCCCTCTGCCACTGCCTCCTTGTAACTCTTCCCTACTTTGCAGCAAACAGTCACAGATATGAATCCCGTTGCAGGCAAACAGACAGTCAGTGCAGCGTTATATGGCTCCTGACTTGTAGGCCTGGCCTAATCCAACAGATGCTCGCTAAAGATAAAAAGACATTCATTCCTTTAAAGTAGGTAACTAGATTGGTACTCCCAGGTCTGGAAAAACACAAGGTGCCCACTTGAAACATTACGTTACATGAATCTGACTCATTGGTAGACAAAACAACTACACAGTACAAAAGGGAAACGTCTCTTGTAGCTTATTCTCAGTGCGGCCAAACACATGAGCTCAGGAACTAGCCTAATAACAATCACCCAGGGGCTGTATATCTTACTGTGTTACAAATAAATATCTGACACAATTCTCACACTGTCAGTTCCCAGTGCAGAACAAATGGGGCTGTGATTGTCCTCAGTAAAAAGAAAACAGTGCCCAAGGAAGGAAGGAGGTATGCGGGAGCGCAGGTGCGGGTCCACCTTTGGAAGCAGACTCCAAACTATGACTTTATTGGAGTGAATATCTTGAGGGATTAAGGATAAAAGGCTTATACCTCCAGGTTCTCTACCTTAAATCAGCTGAAAGCATGAGTGACTTCTTTTAGAACTCAGAAGTCAGACAGTGCTGTCCTAATATTATTATTCATCTGAGAAAGTGTGGTTATTACTCTGCTCTGCACAAACCTCAGCATGAGTGCACGCATGCATCATCGGATAGTTGCCTGAGGACTGGGACAGCACACAAAGCTGCTTTTGAATTGAGGATTACTTAGAGACATCGATAATCCAACCTACTATAACCGGATCTGTGCTGACAGAACAGAGAATCTGGATCTCTGGAGCATTCAGCTCCGAATAAATGAAGTGTGCAAGTCGTGCCTTCATTTTGTTTTCTCTTGAGTTTATTTAGTTTTATTTGTCATTGACAAATAATAATTATGAATTTATGGGCACAATGTGATGTTTGGTATTTGTTTACCATGTGAAGTGATTGGATCAGGCTAGTAACCAGTCCCTATTCACACTAGCTAGAATGCCTATTATTGAGCCACCAGGTGCCAGGGAGAATGAGGAGGGCAGCCTTGCCTGCTGTTGGAGGGAATGAACGCACAGCCTCTTGGGAAACAGTGTGGTAGTTCCTCAAATAACTAAACACAGAACTATCACGTGGTGTGACTGTTGGCCCTCTGGGTGTACTTGAACGAATGGAATTCAGAACATTCACATTTTCTGTGCAGAAAACAATTTAGATATGAACCATCATGCCCTGTGACCCCCAGGTTAAATGACCTTGCAGTGGGCTGTCCAGTCAGCACTTCTGTCTAGCCCTACTTTGGGTCCTCATTCAAGTCAGCCAAGTGCTAAAATGCTTTCACTGTGACATATGACAATTAACAGAGAAAAGTCTGAAAACTTTAGGAGTTTTCTATTATTCTGGTCGATTTGAAGACTGGGATTGTTTTATCATTTCTTTTCGGGTGTCCTGCTTGCTTAGTGTCTTTGAGATTTTCCTGTCCCCAACACGGGTTTTTATTCTCGACCACTGGAACACTATTCTTCAGTCTCAGTGAATAATATGTTTATAGTTTAGTATTTTATAAATTTTAATCTTTATGCAATTGTCTTTCTTTTTTATTTCTTCAGAAGGCTAAGGAATAAAAATGATGAATCATATTTAAAACAAAAGGCAGAAACCCATGTAAAATCAACACAATAAAACCTAGTCACACTAATGATTGAATGAGTGGAAAATATGAAGACTGGAATACTTTCAAGAGCGTATCATATTAGTTCTTTTAATTACATGCTGTATCTTAAATCAGCAACAAAATAGTGCCTGCTTTTGGTCGTCCTGCCTTTTCCTCCAAAATATGACCACCCATCACTGCCTTGGAGTAGAGGTAACCATGATCTGGTAGCTATGGCAAATAAAAAGCAGAACATTACAAAGCTGAGCCTCTGGTGATGGTAACCAAGTCATTAATATTCCACAGTAGAAGGAGCAGAAGAGGGTCACAGGACCTTCTCCTGGGCGACTAGCCACTTCCCCATCTTACCTCCTCCAGCTGCAAGAGACCTTGGGAAATGCTAGAGTATGTAGGAAGTAGACATTTAATCAAATGGGGACTCCATGAAGCAACTTCCATGAGGTCCGCATCAGAGATGGAGTGGGACTTTGTGGTGACGCAGATGCTTTATGGTCATCCTCCCTCCAGTAAGTACATGCTTTCTAAGTAATCCCTGAGCCATGCTCTGTAAGTAAGCCCTTACCCACACTTCCATGAGTAACCTCCATTGTGCTTATAAGTAAGCTATGTTGAACATGGGTAGAATCCTTCCTTTGGTGCTTTCTCAGTACCCTGTCTGGGTGAGTAGACTTTTGATCACATCCCCTTAAGGAAAAGTTAACAGAACACTATCAAAATACTGTCTTTGAGGGAGATACAATGTTTTGTATAGCAGCATAGCATAGGGGTCCGATAGACTTGGAAACAATCCCTTAGGAATGTTAAGCATTAATGAGCATCACTACCTTGACCTTCCCTAGTTTGTGACTAGACATAGTTACACAGCAGCCTCTGTATATGGTAAATAGGACAAATTATTTTTCAAGTGGATGACAGCATTTTTATTTTTAATAGTTTATTTGGGAAAAATAAGATGAAACAACAGATACAGGAAATTTTAGATAGGGAAAGTAATTCACAGATCAGGGCCCAAGAAACCTTTGTTTCTTTTGTGTGCATCAAGTATGTGCATTTGTGTGCATGTTCATGTTTGTGTTGTGAATTCAGGCACATGGCTGCCAGGGAATGAGTGTGGAGGTCAGAAGGCATGACTAGGTATTGGTCCTGGTCTTCTACCTCTTGAGAAAGGGTTTTCTTCTACTTGTTTCTGCTGCATGTGCCAAGCTGGTTCAAGAGCTTCTGAGAAATCTCCAGTCTCCACCTCTCACCTCATCTTCAGAGCACTGAGATTACATATATGTGCTGCTGCATCTAGTCTTAATGGGTTCTGGGGATCAAACTAATGTTCTCACACTCGCATTGCAAGCACTTTACCCAATAAACCATCTCCCCAGTCCTAGAAACTCTTTGTAATGAGCAGCTAGTAAGCATTTCAGACTAGGAGACTGTTTTAATTACTCAACTCTGGCTGATTAATTACTCAGCTCTGCTCAGTGGCAGGGTGCATACTTCATGTGCATAATAGCCTAGGTTCAAACAAACAATAGGGAAAATGACTGAACCGGGATCTAGTAACATCTAATCTGTAGACACTAAAATTGGCATTTCATAACTTTTCCATAGGCAATAAATATTATGCTTTCGATAATTTAGTCATTAAAATGTTCATTAAAAAAAGAAAGAGAAATCTCTTTGCTTATAAGCTGAGTAAAATAGGAAGTGGGTTGATTTTCATCTATGGTCTATAACCTGCCAGAAAACATCAACTCTCCCTCCCCCCGCCCCCCACCCAAAGAGAATGTTATCATATTAGAAATGAGAAGACAGTGAAGAAGGTGAAAATATTGAAAGACATCTTAAAGATGGCACTAAGGTAAAATAGAAATGTCCAAGTCAGAGCTGTTGCATTAGAGTCATCATTTCCAACATGGAGGTTTCCTTTTTGT